AGGAATGTGCCTTAATCGGAAGGCGCCATGTGTCACAATGCGTATATAGGGAAAGGTTGAATGTGTTTTCATTTGTTCAGTCAACAAGATGTGGAATATGTAACTGTAAAAGAAACTAAAGAGCTGAAGAGAGTAAAAACTAATGGTGTACAAACTGCCACCTGGTGCAGAAGTAAACCTTTGAAAGCCTCACAATTGATGGGCAGGTTCACAAGTCTTAATTGAGAAATCATGACCATTCCCACCCCTTGCCCAATTATCTTAGAGCAAATAAAGTTAGGCATGGGTCCAGATAGTCCAAAGTCACTTGTTAATTTTACCACCAAATGTAGGTTAATGACATACTGCGCTAATGATGAAAAACATATTGAGTCGAGTGTAAAACATGTAAATAAGGAGTTCAAAGAAATTTGTCACTAAATCACAAAACAATGCTGAATGAAGGTCAAGGGAGCATGCTTTTGGATGGTCACCTTTTGTCTGCATGTTTAATTTGATGGTGATAGAGCCATAGAAACATAGAAAATATGAGTTGAAGGGACCTCAGGAGGTCACATCTAGTCCAACCCCCTGTTCAAAACAGAGTCATCCCTCACTAGACCATCTCACCCAAGGCTTTTTATGTCCAGGTCTTAAAAAACCTCCAAGGGTAGAGATTCCACCACCCCTCTATCCATTCCAGTGCTTCACTATCCTCCTAGTGAGAAATGTTTTCCTAATATCCAGCCTAAATTTCCCTTGCTGTAACTTGTTCTGTCATCCACCATCACTGAGAACCATTCTGTTCCATGATCTTCTGTAACAGCCTTCAGGTAGTTGAAGGCTGCTATTTAATCTCTCCTCAGTCTTTTCTTCTCCAGACTAAATACACCCAGTTCCCTCAGCTTCTCCTCAAAAGTCACGTGCTGCAACCCCCTAACCATTTCAATTGTCCATTTCTCTGCTTCCTTTGTGTATTGTGGGGCCTGAAACTAGACATAGTACTCCAAGTGTGGCCTCATCAGTGCCAAATAGAGTGGAAGAATCACTTGCCTCGATCTACTGGCAGTGCTCCTACTAAAGAAGCCCAGTCTTACATTAGCCTACTTTGCAAGAAAGGCAGACTGTTATTTATCACTCATATTTATCTTATTGTCCACTGTAACCCCCAGATCCTTTTCAGCAGAGCTGCTGGTTAGCGAGTCAGGCCCCAGCATGGGATTGTTTCATCCCAAATCCAGGACTTTGCACTTGCCCTTACTAAACCTCATGAGATTTTTTTCATTCAATACTCTTGATTGTTGAGGTCTCTCTGAATCTCAGCCCTACCCTCCAGTGTATCTGCTACCCCCCAGCTTGGTGTCATCTGGAGACTTGCTGAGGGTGCAATCTATATCACCTTCCAGGTTGTTGATGAAGATATTAAAATAAACCAGCCGAAGGACCAGCCCCCTGGGCATTCCAGTTGATACAAGCTGCCAAGTAGACTTTTAATCATTGATTACTACCTTTTCAGCCTGATAAAATCATACAAGATGAGGGTTGGAAAGGACCTCAGGAGGCCATCTAGTCTAACCCCCTGATCAAAACAGGACCATTCCCAACTAGATCATCCCAAGCAGGGCTTTATCTAGTTTGGCCTTGAAAACCTCCAAGGATAGACATTCCACCACTTCTCTAGATAACCCATTCCAGTGTTTCACCATCCTCCAAGTGAGAGTGTTCCCCTAGTATCCAACTTCAAC